GTGGCTGACGCCTGTAATCCCAGCACTTCAGGAGGCCGAGGCGGGGGGATCAGGAGGTCAGGAGGTTGAGACCATCCTGGGCAACATGGTGAAACCCCGTCTCTACTAAAAACACGAAAATTAGCTGGGCGTGGTGGCGCACACCTGTAATCCCAGCTAGTTGGGAGGCTGAGGCAGGAGAATTACTTGAACCTGGGAGGCAGAGGTTATAGTGAGCCGAGATCATGCCACTGCACTCCAGCCTAGCAACAGAGGGAGACTCCGTCTCAAAAACAAGACAAAACAAAACAAAGCTGAGGATGGCAGGGTACAGTGGCTCATGCCTGTAACCCCAACAATTTGGGAGGCCGAGGCACGTGGATCACCTGAAGTCAGTAGTTCGAGACCAACCTGGCCAACATGTAGAAACCCCATCTCTCTACTAAAAAATATGCCCCCCCAAAATTGCTTGAACCCAGGAGGCGGAGGTTGGCAACAGAGTGAGACTCCATCTAAAAAAAAAAAAAAAAAAGTGCTGGGGATCCTGAGAGCCCAGGAGGTGAAGCAGCTGCCCAACCAGAAGTGGCACTGGGCCTAGAACCCGCATTTGCCCTACCTCTCGCCCTGCCTTGCTCCCAGCCACTGTCCCCCACTTAACTCCCCTTGCACAAGGCCTTGATGCAACCCGGTACTGGCCTGGGGCACCCTGCTTGAGGACAGCGTTGGGAAGGAGGTTTTGCAAGAGTTGCAGCAGGAAGCAGCACCAGCCAGGGCGGGTCCAGGGAGATAAGGGCACCCTCGCCCTTCCCCGTGCTCCTCCTGGCCTTCTGGTTTCCTCTTCCCTTCCCTTTCCTGGAAAGTGGCGCCCGCCTGGACCCTGGCCCCAGCCTCACCCAGCTCCTGGCCGGGCCCTGTGACTCACCTCCTTTCTTTCTGGCAGCTGTGCTGGGATGTGAGGCCTGCCTGCCACCAGGAAGGCCTGCTGTGTGTGACCCTGGGCAGCAGGGAGCTCTCTCTGGCTGGCAGTTCCTGGTGCTCAATAAGAGTGACTGGCATGGGTCAGGTGTGGTGGCTCACGCCTGTAACCCCAGTACTTTGGGAGGTTGAGGCGGGCGGATCACCTGAGGTCAGGAGTTCAGGACTGGCCTGGGCGACATGGTGAAACCTCGTCTCTACTAAATATACAAAAATTAGCCAGATGTGGTGGTGCACGTGTGTAATTCCAGCTACTCAGAAGGCTGAGGCACTAGAATTGCTTGAACTTGGGAGGCGAAGGTTGCAGTGAGCCAAGATCACGCCACTGCACTCCAGCCTGGGCGACACAGTGAGACTCCGTCTCACAAAAAAAAAAAAAAAAAAAGCTGGGCACGGTGGCTCATGCCTATAATGGATCACCTGAGGTCAGGAGTTTGAGAGCAGCCTGGGCAACATGGTAAAACCCCGTCTCTACTAAAAATACAAAAATTAGCTGGGTGTGTTGGCAGATGCCTGTAATCCCAGCTTCTTGGGAAGCTGAGGCAGAAGAATTGCTTGCAACTGGGAAGTGGAGGTTGCAATGAGTCGAGATCGCCCCATTGCACTCCAGTCTGGGTGACAAGAGGAAAACTCTGTCTAAAAAAAAAAAAAAGAATTTCCCCAATGTGGGTTGCAAAAGTTGTGAAATGTGTATATTTCTTGCATTTATCTGATGTATGCTTTTAAAACAAACATAATGACCAGGTATTATTTCAGTTGGAAATAAGATGAAAGGCTTCATCAACTGGACATACTGTGGGAATATGAGGCCCCTCATAAGCCTGATTTGGACAAGTCTGATTTCTGGAAAGTCCTCTAAGTCAATGTGCAATGTGGCCTTGGGCAGGTCACCACCCTTCTTTGATGCCTCCGTTTTGTCATCTGAAAAGTGAATATAGGCTGGGCACGGTGGCTCACATCTGTAATCTCAGTTCTTTGGGAAGCTGAGGCAGGCAGATCCCTTGAGGTCAGGAGTTTGAGACCAGCCTGGCCAACATGGTGAAAACTCTTTTCTATAAAAACATACAATTAGCTGAGCATGGTGGCACTTGCCTGTAATCTCGGTGACTCAGGAGGCTGAGGCAGGAGGACTGCTTGAACCTGGGAGGTGGAGGCTGCAGTGAACCAAGATGGTGCCACTGCACCCCAGCCTGGGGAATAAAGGAAGACTCTGTCTCAAGAAAAAAAAAAAAAAAAAAAAAAAGTGGATATAGCAGTAGGCCCACACCTGGTAGGGCTGTTGAGACAATCCACTCAAAACACGTTATTGCAACATGCACTACTGTGAGCCTGTGCTATGCTTTTTAGGTGCATTGGTTCAATTAGTCCTTGAGGCCCAGGTTCTGAAGCCCATTTTCCAAAAAAGAAAAGAGGCTCTGACAGGTGAAGTGATGAGCATCAACGCTGATTCTGGGCTTGGGTTCTACCTGCCTCTCTACTAAAATGTTAGCCTACTACTCTTGTGGTAGTGGTGGTTGTTACTGTTATTCAAATGACCGTATGATGATAGCACTGGCCTCGTTAAAGTTCTGACGATTAAATGAATTGATATTGTAAAGAGTTTAGTATGGTGCCTAGCCCATAATAAGCTCTCCGTATTTCTTAAGGCAGAGTTCAGTGCTCAAGAAACTTGGTCCTGGGGTTTCTCGGCATCTTCCACCCCAGCTCCTGGCTGCGTCCTGTCCAGGAGAGGTTAAGGAGTTAATGATTTCCAAAGGAGCAGGGTTTTGTGTGCTACACGCACACACACCGGTGGCCTCTGTCCCCCTCCCTTTGCGAGGCCCGGAGCCTCTTATGCAAGCCGCCGGCGCCCGCCGGTTCCCAGGCCCGGCTGCAGCTGCGGGCGGAGGGGCAGGGCGGGGGCGGCGCGCTGTTTGTCTAGCGCGGCCGTGCCAAAGACTGCGGGCCCCAGACAGCCAGGCGCCTCCGTACACCTGGGGATGCTCAGGTTAAATAGCTCCGCATTCCTCGGGCCCAGCTGATGGAAACGCTCCCAGGCCGCCGCCGAGCCGGCCTCCAGATGGGCTGGGCCTGGGCCAAAGGGGAAAAGAGGGGAACGTGGAATCCAGAGTGTGCCTGAATGGCGGGGGAGGTGACCCAGGCCCCTGCCGCAGCCCCTTCCTCCCCTGGAAGAAAGGCCCTGCATGTCGGAGTACGCGAGGGGGAACCTGCTTACGTTCCCGTGGGTGGGCTTGCAGGCCAGGGCCCACACGTGAGAGGGAGTGCGTGCACACGTGTGCCTCCGAGGACACTCCAAGGATGCACAGGCGACAATTAATCATGATAATATATAACTATGCAACATTGTGCCAAGCATTGTGCTAAACGTTTTAACCACTTACTTTCATTTATTCTGTACTACTTTCCGTGAGGTTAGTACTATTGATACAGCAGCCGGTGGAGAGGGGGTAGCAAAGAACATAATTCGCCTGCAAATACTGTGTTTGATAAAAGCCATAAACTGCTTTGTGGAGGGGGTATAACTGGCTTAACGTTAGTGCTCAAGGAATCATAATCTTTCATTTGATTTTTTGTTCATCCCGTCTGTGAGCTTGTGTCTTCTGCTGTAAAACTGGGACCACAATCCTGCCTTTAGCCCCACAGGTATCCACGAAACCGTTTTTGTAAAGGGTTGAGTTGAGCAGAGCCAGGCTTCCGATGCTAGGGGCTATTTATTTTATTCTATCGTTTATTGACAAAATGTATGAATAGCCCTTACCTCTCTGGGACAAGTTCTTTGCCATTCCTGGGACTCAGTTTCTCCATATGTAACACATGGGGATTTACCTGGCATCTATTCTTGAGGGTTGGTGCCCCCAGGACCTAATGATAGCCCAGGGAGTTGCCATGTGAACTTTTGAGGAAGGATTTGCCCAAACATAGCTGTCCCCACCTTCACTCCAGACCCGCAGAGGCCCAGGAATGCCAACCAATCTATAGAACAATTATATACACAGAAACCCACAGTGTGGTTCTGTGGCCCCCAGACATTCAAACCCATCCATCATCCCAGACCCATGCAGAGATGCCCACAATGCATTTAGGCAGAACACACAAGCCCAAACAGCTGGAGGTTCCACACTTATCTGCAGAACACATGTGCTCTATTTGCCCTTCTGCACACACCCCCAGGCCTATATGTGAACAGTTGGCCCATCCCCACCGTGGAGTAGCAGGGGGAGACCAGCTTACTCCTGTTACGTACACAGGAGTAGACACCCATACACGCTTCCCTGAGTAGAAATCCACATACATGTCCAGGCAGATAGGCCGTTGCCAATGACATATTTATCCTGCTCAGGAGCTGGGGAATGAGATTCCACTCCTCAGATCCTACCCAGGAACCCTGGGGTTGGGGGCAGATTTGTTTGAGCTGCCAACAGAGCCAGGCCAGGGTGATGCGTCTGAGTCTGGACCTAGAGCAGGTGTCCCAGCAGCTGTGCCCAACCTGGCCCTGCCAACTTGCTCACCCACTTGGATGAGCCAGGAGCCCCAGGGCAGCCTGCTGGAACCCAGAGGTAGGCTGTTGGGGGAGGCACCTCCTACTGGGGAATGGGGTGATAGAATCACTGCCTCTCACAAGCTATGACCCTAAGCAAGTCCTTTTCCACTGGGTCTCATTTTATCCACATCTTGGCAAGGAAGTGGGTGGTCCAGCGACCACGTTCTCCAACTTAAATGGCTTGCTCAATACTCCAACACAGAGGGGGCCCTGGCAGGTTCATCTGCATTTTAACAACCTCCCCAGGTGATCCAGATGGCCCAATGATCACCTTGAGAAACCCCAGAGGTCTAGAGTATTTAGTTTTATAACACTAGGGAGCAGGGAAATAGCCGGGGACGGTGGGGGGAAGAATAGACTTTAAAGACACCGGAAACACTCATTCAGGCCGGTAAGAGCAACAATCCAGATGTAGCCCTCCAGTTCTCCTCCCAGAACCAGCTGTGAAGAGGGTCAGGGGTCAACCCCCAGCCGAGGACCCTCCCCTCAATCCAAGAAGTCACTGCCACCATCTAAATTATTTGTTTAATAACAAAGAAACAGCCCCACATAACTATTGTAAAACAATATTCTCAGTCGGTGATCATTGTAATATACAATACAAAGCAATTTCCTCAGAAATCTGAGAAGCACCAAACGTGACCATTTTTTAAAATGTCTGCTTTTCAAAAAATAGAAACACACGAGTGGAATCCCACCCCCTAAAGTCTCCGGTGACTAGTAGGTGTGGAGAGAGGGTCGCCCTCTCCTCTCCAGTCCCTCAGCCCTAGGCTGGATGCTGTAAGGGCGCAGTGGCCGCCGATCTGTCTAGTTCGCCCCCAGATCCGGCGAGGCGCGTTGGGGAGACCACAGAGCACTTAATTCCTCTTGCCCCCGATGGCTGGGGTGCGCCGATCCCTGGGGAATGCGCTTCAGCGACACAAGATGCGATCGTCCGTAGGAACGCATGCCGCCTGTGAAAACGAGAGAAGAGGTGAGACCGGAGCGTTGGGAGGGACGCCGCTCCGAGCGCAGCGGACGCCCCCTTCCCCAGGAGTACACGACGGGAGAGCGCTTTTTCCAGGCTCCTTAGGCACCCCCGCATAGCCAGCTACCCGCAAAGATGGGACGGAACTGGTGCAAGCGCCCACACCCTCTCTGGCCTCAGTTTCCCCGTCGGTATAAGGATAATCTAGTGGTCGGATCTGGATCTCACCTCGGCCGTCAGGGCGCTGATCTCGCCGTTGAGGGTGCTTAGTGGAGCCCGGACCGGCAACCCTCGGCCCCCGGGGGTCCCGACTTCGGATTCCGAATTCAGCTCCAACTGCAGGTCCCTGATGTAGTCGATGACGTGCTGGAGGATCTCCACCTTGCTCACTTTGCGGTTCTGGGGCAGGGTGGGCACCAGCTCCTTCAGGCGTGAGTAGCAGCCGTTCATGTCGTAGAGCAGCACGTTCACCTGCTGCTCGTCAAGCAGGGCAGGCAGGCGCGCCCCGGCGCCCCCGGCGCAGCGCGAGATGGCCACGCTCTGCTCAGACAGGCAGCGCACCACCTCGCCCGCGCCGCCCGCTGTCTTGCCGGCCTTCAGCGCGCAGCTGGGGCCTGCGGCGGCGGCGGTGCTGCCACTGGCTACTTTCATGATTCCCGGCGACTGGCTGAAACGGAATGGGCAAAGCGAACGGAGAAGGCGGGAGCCCGAAGCAGAGGTGGAAAACGGAACAGTTAAGAACGTGGAATGAAAGCGCGTAGCCACCGCAGGTCTTTTATAAACATGCCACGGCCCCCGGAGGGGCGGGCTCAGAACGTTCAAAAGCAGCCAATGGGCGGTGTGGGGGCGTGGCCCGCGCTCCTAGGTCCCGCCTTATGCTTTTCTAGTGCACCCTCTCAATCTGGAAAGACTACCCGAGTTTCAAGAACAGCTAGGGTGGGTGGGTGGCAGGGCAGCTGGTGGAGGCGAGGGCTGCACTGGGCTCCTCGTGAAAGAGGCAAGGAAGCTAAGCCGGCATTGCCTTATAATGAAAAGACCTCAGGAATCAGTTTTTCCCATATTCACTTTCTCACTTCTCCAGCTCCATTTCACAGATGAGAGAAGTTGAGGCCCGAACGGAGAAGCGGCTGGCTCTGGATAGCCCAGAGAGCCTGGGTTTCCGGACCCTCTTGGAAGATACCTGTGGGACCTTGATCTACAAATATCGGGACCGAAACTTAAAGCGGGCGCTCCTTTACATCTGCTCCCCTGGGGTTTCTCAATTTCTAGATAATGTTGCTGTTCGTGTTCCTGAGACCCGCAGGGCCTACTCAGATCCCCCCCGGGTCGGAGCAATTAATTCGGGAAGGTCTAGTAAGTTTGAGGCTGGATGGCTGGGAAGTGAACTACATAGAGTGCAGTGGAGTGAGGCTGCATTCGATTCCACCTTGAATTTGCAGCCCCTTGCAAAAATTTCCTAAACCTGCAACAACTCGTGATTTTTAAATGTTTTTTCCCATTTTTGGCTACATTTTTAAATTTTTTTCTCAAAGACCTCAGAGCAGGGTCTCCCTCCCACGGCGCAGCAGCTGCGGAGCTAGTCTCCCCCCTCTCCTTCCCGGGCCGGTCTGTGTCAGCGTCTGAACAAGCGGCTCAGACCGTTAGACGCCAGGCCTGTGACGTCACCCATTCATAAAACCGGGACGGACTGTCAGGCTGGCGCCGCGCGGGCGGTCGCCATGGAGACGACAAACTGAGCTAGCTAGTTCCCTCGCTCCCCACAGCCCGTCACCTGCAGACCAAGGGCGGGAGGCCTGGGAATGCGTTCCTCGCGGGCGCGGTCGCTGAGCAAGGGTCACCTTACCTCCCCGCCCCACACCTGCGAATCTCCCCACCCAGACCCACAGCACAGCCTGGGCCGCTTGGGAGGTTTCCTCACTGCTCCCCCCACCGCCCCGCCCCAGCTACCCGCTCCAGCGTGAGGAAAAAGGCCTGAGTTCCCTTTCCAGCTCTGCAGCTGGGTGGATTCAGGCGGGTCGCATGCCCTCTCTGAGCCCTAATATTTAATATTTGCCTGGTATTTAAATAATAATCACAAACGTGACCATTACTTTGTACACCGGGCACTGTGTGAAGAGTTTGTCTTGATCATCTTTTTTCATTTATTTCTTATCTTAAAAAATGAAGGCCTGCGCGATGGCTCACGCCTGTAATCCCAGCACTTAGGGAGGCTGAGGCGGGTGGATTGCCTGAGGTCATGAGTTCGAGACCAGCCTGACCAATATGGTGAAACCCCACCTCTACTAAAAATACAAAAATTAGCCCGGCATAGTAGCGTGCGCCTGTAATCTCAGCTACTCGGGAGGCTGAGACAGGAGAATTGCTTGAACCTGGGAGGCGGAGGTTGCAGTGAGCCGAGATAGAGCCACTGCACTCCAGCCTGGCCACAGGGTGGGACTCCATCTCAAAAAAAAAACAAAAACAAAAACAAAAAACGGGGCGCAGTGGCTCACACCTGTAACCCCAGCACTTTGGGAGGCCGAGGCTGGCGGATCACGAGGTCAGGAGATCTAGACCATCCTGGCTAACACGGTGAAACCCCGTCTCTACTAAAAATAGAAAAAATTAGTCGGGCGAGGTGGCGGGCGTCTGTAGTCCCAGCTACTTGGGAGGCTGAGGCACGAGAATGGCGTGAACCCAGGAGGCGGAGCTTGCAGTGAGCCGAGACTGCGCCACTGCAGTCCAGCCTGGGCAACAGAGCCGACTTCGTCTCAAAAAAAAAAAAAAAAAAAGATACCGGCCGGGGGGGGGGGCTCAGGCCTGTAATCCCAGCACTTCGGGAGGCCGAGGCAGGTGGATCACCTGAAGTCAGGAGTTCGAGACCAGCCTGACCAACATGGTGAAACCTCGTCTCTACTGAAAATAAAAAATTAGCCGGGCATAGTGGCATGTGCCTGAAAATAAAAAATTAGCCGGGCGTGGTGGCGCGCGCCTGTAATCCCTCAGCTACTCAGGAGGCTGAGGCAGGAGACTCGCTTGAGCCCAGGAGGCGGAGGTTTCAGTGAGCCGAGATCACACTACTGCACAACAGCCTGGGCAACAGAGCGAGACTCTGTCTCAAAATAAAATAATAATGATACAGGGTCTCACTCTGTCACCCAGCTTGATCAAGTTCTGTAGTCTTTTTCGCAACTCTAAGGAGAGGAGCTATTTGGTGTCTTTATACAAAGGAGGAAACTGAGGCTCCAGAAGACGCCTGAGAGTTATAATCATAGTTGCGTTATTATAAGGAGGGTACAGTATTGCAATGCAATCGCTTCCTGTTGAGAGCAGGCAGTCTGATTGCAAAGTCCTGGACATGCCACAGGTGGGGAAACTGAAGCTCAGGTTAGTCACCTAAAGCCATACAACATTAGCAGGGGTAAAAATCTGTGCCTACCAGTGAAGGATGATATTATGGTCCCTCCCTGCTCCCCTCCGCCCCACTATCCCGCAGCAATGAATTCACTGAGTTATCAGCAGGTTCCGTTTTCCCACAGAAGTTTGGGGGAGGAGGGAAAAGTAAAGGAGCCTTCTGTCTCCACATCAGGAAACCAGGAAAACCAAACCAATCAGTGAGACCAGCTTCAAAAGAGAGAGACATCATCAATTAATTAGCTAGACTCCTCATCCCCTTACCACACACACCAAAACTCTCTAAACTCCCTATGCCTTGTTTAGCAATCCTAAATTAATGATGGCAGGGAATAGTTTGCTGCTCAAAAGAACTGCCAAATAATTGGAAGAACAATGGTCAACCAGAGGAAATTAGAGTATTAATTCATCACTAAGTGTTTATTTTTATTTATTTATTTTTGAGACAGAGTCTCGCTCTGTTGCCTAGACTGGAGTGCAGTGGCGCGATCTCAGTTCACTGCAATCACCACCTCCTGAGTTCAAGCAATTCTCCTGCCTCAGGCTCCCCAGTAGCTGGGATTACAGGCACCCACCACCACGCCTAGCTAATTTTTGTATTTTTAGTAGAGACGAGGTTTCGCCGTGTTGGCTAGGGTGGTCTCAAACTCCTGACCTCAGATGATCCGCCCGCCTTGGCTTGGCCTCCCAAACTGCTGGGATTACAGGCATGAGCCACTGTGCCCAGCCATCACCAACTGTTTATTTATTTTTATTTTATTTTTATTTATTTATTTATTTTGATACGGAGTCTCGCTCTGTCACACAGGCTGGAGTGACAGCCTGGAGTGCAGTGCAGTGGCGGGATCTCGGCTCACTGCAAGCTCTGCCTCCTGGGTTCAAGTGATTCTCCTGCCTCAGCCTCCTGAGCAGCTGGGACTACAGACGCCCGCCACCATGCCCAGCTAATTTTTTTGTATTTTTAGTAGAGACGGGGTTTCACCGTGTGTTAGCCAGGAAGGTCTCGATCTCCTGACCTCATGATCCGCCTGCCTCGGCCTCCCAAAGTGCTGGGATTACAGGCGTGAGCCACTGCGCCCGGCCTATTTATTTTTTTTGAGATGGAGTCTCAGATTGTTGCCCGGGCTGGAGTGCAATGGCGCAATCTCGGCTCACTGCAACCTCTGCCTCCTGGGTTCAAGCGATTCTCCTGCTTCAGCCTCCCGAGTAGCTGGGATTACAGGTGCCCACCACCATGCCAGGCTAATTTTTTTGTCTTTTTAGTAGAGACAGGGTTTCACTATGTTGGCCAGGCTGGTCTCAAACTCCTGACCTTGTGATCTGTCCTCTTCAGCCTCCCAAAATGCTGGGATTACAGGCGTGAGCCACGGTGCCTGGCCTTCAACTGTGAATTAATTGACCAGCAATCCTGTTTACTGCAATGAATTCTAGAGAAAACAGCCTGGCCAACATAGGGAAACCCAGTCTCTACTAAAAATACAAAAATTAGCTGGGTGTGGTGGTGGGCACCTGTAGTCCCAAGTACTCGGGAGGCTGAGGCAGGAGAATCATTTGAACCCAGGAGGTGGAGGTTGCAGAGAGCCAAGATCAAGTCACTGCACTCCAGCCTGGGCGACAGAGTAAGACTCTGATTCAAAAACATAAAAATAAATAAAAATGAGAGAAAAAATTATGCTGTAGAAATTAATTCAGGGCCAGGCGCGGTGGCTCATGCCTGTAATCCCAGCAGTTTGTGAGGCTAAACCAGGTGGATAATCTGAGGTCAGGAGTTCGAGATCAATCTGGCCAACATGGTGAAACCTCATCTCTACTAAAAATATAAAAATTAGCAGGGCCTGGTGGTACACGCCTGTAATCCCAGCTACTCAGGAGGCTGAGGCAAGAGAATCTCTTGAACCTAGGAATTGGAGATTGCAGTGAGCCAAGATCCCACTGCTGCACTCCAGCCTGGGTGACAGAGCAAGACCCTGTCTCAAAATAAATACATAAAATAAATAAAATGACATAATATTTGTGTGAAACCTATGCATATCCTTCTATACACTTTTTTTTTTTTAGATGGAATTTTGTTCTGTCACCCAGGCTGGAGTGCAATGGCATGATCTCGGCTCACTGCAACCTCTACCTCCCGGGTTCAAGCGATTCTCCTGCCTCAGCCTCCCAAGTAGCTGGCATTACAGGCACCCACTACCACCCCCGGCTAATTTTTGTGTTTTTAGTAGAGACAGGATTTCGCCACATTAGCCAGGCTGGTCTCGAACTCCTGACCTCAGGTGATCCGCCCTTCTCCGCCTTCCAAAGTGCTAGGCTTGCAGGCATGAGCCACCACGCCTGGCCTTTGTTTTTGTTTTTGTTTTGTTTTGTTTTTGTTTTTGTTTTTTTTT